GGTGTTGATGATGATTGCTGGTGATTTTAAGCAGTTTTTGGTTTCTGTTCTTAGGAAATCGAACATTGTCTCGTTAAGGTCGGTGGTTCTGATGAAGTTTGGCATGTCTTTGAGTCTAATGTTTGTCATCCCAGGAATCCAATCTATGAGCATGTCCAGTGCGCTTTCGGTGACGGATTCAGGATCTGCAACAATATGAGAAAACTTGGCAGATATATAGTTGTGAATTTTGGTCTTCATCAATGTTGCCAAATTTTTATTCTTCCAATATAAAAGGAAAAATCATCCTAATAATGATTCACTCATTTAAGGCATAATCCTTGCTATTCACTCTACGCAGGCATAATTTAAAATTTTTGCTTCAAAAAAATTATAAAATTTCGGCATATAAAGATCAAATTGGAAATTAAATAAAATTATAAATAACCATGGTTATATATTTTTCACAAATTGAAAAAAGAAACAAAATAACAACTAATTATCAACATATATACTAGCTCTAGTACTAAATATATATAAGAACTAGTTACGGGTTAAATTTTATCTTAAATATAAAATTTTAATTTATTGTCTCCCTAATTTATAATATTTTCTTCAAATATCACTATTAATTATAAGTGATTTTCATTAAGAAGTAAGTGATTTTCATCAAGAAATACTTTTAATATATATAATTAAATAGAATAATTTATAAAAATACAAATAAGTAAGTAATTTAATTTATTTTTTTATTTTTTTAAATTAATTTACAGCTACATTTTTTTTTTATATTAATAACTCATTTGTGAAGAACCAACCATCGATAATCTATACTCCATTAATAGACAGGGACGTGTTCTGAGTTTTGAAGAGGAAAGTACCTTTGAAAGGAATGATTCCTCTGCAAATAAGAGCATCGAATTGCAGGTAGGCCATGAAGCCACAAGCAGAGGCAGTCCAGAACTGAACTTCAGGTATCCCCAATTCCTCCGCGACTCCTATCGCAAAGCTCATAACCCCATCTGCTATGATGCACCTCACCGCACCGAATCCTTCTTCGTCCTCCGCTGACGACTGCATCCTCTTGATCAGCTCCTTAAACGGCTCCGAGCAGTTCTTCCTCAACGCGTCACACAACTCCGACACGTCCGGGTTGGCGTCCCGACCCGACTGATGCAGCCCGTCAGGTATCGTCTCCACCCGAAAACCCGCCAATCCCTCGGCGAAGTCGGGTCCTAAGGATCGGACAAGGCGCGCGTGATACGACGCCGTGTCGACCATAGTTACGTTGAAACCCTTCCAATGAAGGAGCTTGACGAGTTGCATAAAAGGGCTCACATGGCCTTGTGCTGAGAACGGAACACAAACTGCATGCGGCTTCATCATTTTCTCGGCTCTGTTTTATGTTTTCATGGAAAGAAAGATGGAATGATGCTGATCTTATATGCTACAATATCTATTAGGACATATATATATATATATATATATAATGATAGTACTCCTCCGATCCTAATTATAAGACCCAATTGACTTATTTGAGGAGATTAAGGAAGTAAGTTAAGTTGGTTATTTATAATAAATAAGTGTTGTCATTCCTAAAATATTCTTGCTAATTAAGTATATTGACTAAAACTATCATTATTAAAAGGATTATCTTGGAAAAAAATACATAAATATAAGAGACACAATGGATTGGGTCTTATAATTAGGACCAAATAAAAAGTCAAATTGGGTCTTATAATAAGGACAGGAGGAGTAATATAAATGAAAAGATGAAAACAGTGGCCAAGGATGATTGGATGAACGTGCGTCAGCAGCATTGAAATTTTGGCGGTGCGCTTCATTAAAATATATATATAGGATGACTGGCACAAACATTATTGAGAAAATTGCCAGAGTTCTATATTAGAGAATTAAATATAAAAAAATCTTTTGAAGTTATCTAATTAATCTGAAATTCTAAGAAATCTTATTGTAAGAGATTTTATTTGTTTAATTACCAAATTGTTATTATTATTTTTAAGCATGCATTGATATAGTCACTAATAACTTGACATATAATAACTAGCAACTATCATTACAGATATTGACAGCTAATGTATTAAATTTTTGTGATGTATTGAAAAAATATATTATTAATACCTACTACAATAGTTGTTAATCATTACACTTTAAATTGTTAACGACTGTTTTTTCAGTTGTCAATACAAAATTTAAAAATAAGGACAATTTGATAATTAAATAAATAAAATCTCTTATAATAAGGTCTATTGGGACTTCAGAATAATTAGATAATTTCAAAGAATCTGTTTGTATTTGATTCTCTTGGGTGTGACGTTGTTAGAATTTTCCCAGCATTATTTAAGATTATAGGCATGATGTCTCGACTTGTTTAAATTTTTTAGAAATAATTTTATCATATATGTGAAAAAAATTTTGTCTCAATTTAGATAAAAATACTTTTCAAACACCCAGTAAAACTTGGAAATTTTTTACTTATAAATAAGTTTTTTTTTTTACCAGCAAATAAGTTTTCTTATTATCACTAGATTCTAATAATGTCATTGATGAAAATCAGTTAACTATTTTTGACATCTGTGCATATTACGTGCCCCTTTGACAGAAGTTGAGAGATGAGAATGCCCAAACAAACACCACATCATTTGCATACGACGCCTTGTAAGGTCTGAGAATCCGAAGAGCCGCCGGCCTAGGACCCATTTGCCCTTGGTGGCAGTTTAGATTTACTTTGACTGAACTAATTTACGTATAACGTGATCAAAAATATCTCAATTAAAACAGAGCTTATATTTGTAAAATAATTCAGGAATAATACAAATTTTGATCCCTCAAGTTTATCTTCCTTTTGATTTCACTCTCTCAAATTTCAAATTATAAGTTTTAGTTCTTTAAATTTCTTTTTATTTATAATATTAGTCTTTATAATTTAATAAAAGCTTAGAATATTTTGTTTTTTTTAGAAACCAAAACTTATAGTTTAAAATTTAAAAGACCAAAATCAAAATGAAAACAAACTTGAAAGACAAAAGATTATATTAACCTAATAATTCAATTTCTAGAATCAGTGGATACTCGTATCGAAACACAAATTTGAAAATAGATTTGAATATATTTTCTGGAAAAAATATATTGTTCTAAAAGTGGTTATGTAGGGTGTGATAGTCTGCAATGACTAATGAGGATGCTTGTTGGTTAATTGGAAAACCTCACCCGTAGCCGGATTAATCATAGGGAAAATTTCAGAAAAGTCTTTGGAATATAGAAAATTTTAGATTGGGTCCTGGAATTTCGTAAATGATAGAAAGGATCACTGATCCAATTTGTCATTTGTGAAATTAAAACGAATTGACAATTTTGCCCCTGGTTAAGCAAAAGTGAGTAATTATTCTCTAAACAAATCTATGTAACGCTTATACTGTTCTAATGATTATATGATTAGTTGTAGTTAATAATAAGGTACCTAGCTATGAAAAAATGAGTAGTTATTCTCTACACGAATCTAGGTAATGCTTACATTGTTCTAGTGATTACAAAATTAATTGTAATTAATAACAAAACACCTGACTATGAAAAAGTAAGTAGTTATTTGCTACTTGAATTTAGGTAACGTCTAAACCCTTATAGTGATTTCTTAAATCATTATAGTGAATGAATAAAAATAAGGATAAAGTTGTCAGTTCTTCTTAATTTCACAAATGACAGATTGAGTTACTGACTCTTTCTGTTATTTACGAAATTCCAAGACCCAATCTGAAATTTCCTATGTTTCAAGGACTTTTTTGAGATTTCTCTTAATCATATCACAAAGCAGATGCAGCCCCCCTTGCTTTGACACCCCCCCCCCCGCAAAAAAAAAAAAAAACAGCCCCATTGCTGCCTACCATCTTATTTAACATTTCATCTCATTCTAATGAGTTAATATAATTTTTTATACTTCGAGTTTGTCCTCAATTTGATTTTGATCTTTCAAGTTTTTTTTTAAAACAAATTAGTTTCAATAATCTAATAAAAATTTGGACTAATAAAACCTATTGTTTAAAATTTGACAAAATCAAAATAAAAACAAACTTACAGACCAAAGATTATATTAACCCTATTCTAATACTCATTTAGTTCTAAATATAAGACCCTTATATTAGTGTATAAATGTCTTATGTTTAGAACCGGAAGAGTAGTAAGAACTACTACCTTCATGCCTTAATATAAAAACTAATTTGACACTTAATTTAGTCTTAAATATAAAACTTTAATCAACTTTGTTTTTCATATTTATCTTTTTTTTTCAAAATAATCTTTGTAGTAATTACATATGTTAAATGTTCCATCAAATACTATTTTTAACTAATACACATTATTAACAAAAGTATTCTAAAAAAAAACAATACCTAATTATTACAAATAACTAACTTAAAAAACCTTCTTAATCTATTCAAATTAGTTAACTAACTCTTATATTAAGAATTAAAAATAATAATTTAAAGATTTGTCTTCATCTTATTATATATAAACTCTCAATTTTCATTGTTTTCCGTATTTATTATTTTTTCCTCAATTATTCTTATAATTAAAATCTTGTATGATCTATAAACATTAAGCCATATTGATAATACTCTAATGTAAATTATTAAAAGGATGAGTACATTGGGCAAATTAGCACACTTTTTTTCATAAATATGAAATAGCTTGTCTAATTTTTTAATCTATGTAAATTGGTTAATTAGCGACAAAGAGCGTATTACTCTTAAATTTAAGATATTAACTTTAAAAGAAATTTAAATTGCTCAAATTTGATTGAACATTTTACCAATGCAGTGAGAAATAGGAAGAAAACAAACTTTGTAATAATAATTCACAGATGTGAACTGGTTAAATCAGATGTTGATAGTTAAAACTTCAATTTTCTAGCGCTCCAATGAACATAATTATTCCCCATATGATTAACATGATTTTTTCCTTTCGGCCGAAACTGGAATTAACATAACTAAAGACAAAATCTTGCATGCAGGAGCTCAAAGTTTATGAATAAAAATCAATTGAGCAATAGACTGAAGACTTTGGATATGAGCAGATCACATTCAATACCCAAATTCTTACCCACACTTTCATTCACAGAGCGTCGCATTTATCAGGTACGCTCTAATTTGGCATCTGTGATAACTGTCCCTGATAAATAAGACTCTGCGAATGAAACTTCAAGTAAATGCTTGAAATTTTGAATATTGACTGAGGCCTTGCAATGCAGACTCAGTCAGAATCCAGAAGTCTCTAGCCTTATAACCTAGTGGCATGTAAGCTCTTTTTGTAAATGAGAGGTTGCGGATTCAATCCTATTTGTAATCTCAGACTTTTAGTACCTACCCCTCTAGCTCAGAACCAAAAAAGAAAGCCGGCTGATGGTTCATATGTTGAAGTAGCACATTCCAGCGAATAGATTCTTGTCATAAAATTTTGTGAGATTTTTCCAGTTTACATTCAGAATTTCTCTGAATGTCCTAGTGTGAGATTTCTTTTAGATTCTACAAGTACATATCAAGAAGGCAAACCAGACAAATTAGACTTCCTATACAGTTCCTCATCTATTATCACCGTTGGTATATTCCACGTGCCATGAGCGTGACCAGATATCATTCCACCTTAAAAGTTCAGTTGCCAATAAATCAAATCGTGGAAGCCTATCGGAGAAGGTCTAATTACAGAAAAGCCTTTGATAAGTAGCAACTTACCTTCCTTCGTAGCTTCTTCACATCTTTTTTGATAGCTCAATGATAGCTGTGGATCCAGCGACTTCAGTAAACCATCATACTTATCTTCAGCCTCACTAATGCACTTAGCCTACAATTCACAATTAGACAAAACATATATCCTAGCTGTCACAAAAATATGGTACGTTTTCAGAAGACCATGGCCTATAAATTTTTCTAGTGAATAGGAGTCAAACCGTCAAGCTGGTCTATAGTGGCAGAAAAAGGGTGTACTAATCCAAAAATTGAAAGTGGAAATTGATTACCCCAACTGTATAACAAATTTCCGTGATTCAATATTTCAGAAACTGCATCGCCTAGTTAACAAATTTGTGTATGCATACTAAAGCAATTCATAAATTAGCAACCATGACGGTATTATGCTTCGCACACTCACCAGCATAGCTGAGGCAGTTGAAGCTCCATATATTCTGACAAACATGCGCAATACATTAAAGTTGTTCTCTAGAACATCATCCTGCACAACTTTCTTTTTGTCAGTTCAGACAGTAGGGTCGAATATGTGAGTGGTAGTCATGAAATCAAGATCAGTGAACTCGCCTCATAGTCATACCTGCACCATTGCCAGGTTAATTTTGTTAATTGAAACTGACAGTGCTAGCATAATTATGAAATATTGGTTGCTTTCTCAAGACATTTGATATTTGAAAAAAATTGGCTGAAAGCCCTTCACCCACTAGATTAGATTGTAGTGGCCATACAGTTTTTATATTTTAAACTCTTTCTTATTACTGTTAATTTGGTAGATGTTTTTGTATTCCTAAAATAATGAGGAAGAATGAAAGCTAAAAGCAACTAAATTGCAATATGACTTGCCACTAAAACAAAAAGGGAAAAAGAAAAAGCAATCAGAGCAGCACAAATTTCAAATCATAATGGTAAAGAGATTACAATGCCTACAACTTGAATTCCTCAGATTTTTTTCCCTAGGGTGGGGGTTGAAGGAAGATAATTTAGTGAAAGAAAAGCGGATACAAAGACAAAAGCAAACTCTATCGCAGATCTGGATGTAAATGCATGTGTGATCAGGGAACGAAGCACAAACAGAAACAAAAGATAGCGCTTACAAATCATCAGCAACTTCCACTAGGAACTCTGAAACTGAAAGAAACTCCATATGCAACTCCTCAACCTTCAAAACAGTTTCAGGAGAACACAATTAATAACCAATAGACTAATATTTCTTCAAAAAATTATGTCCCCCAATGCAGAAAATTTTTGTTGCAGACGTTATTTACAATACCATCAGAATAAAATTACCAGATATCAAAGTCCTCACTAAAATATCAAATCCATTTCATTTATTGTATGAAGCATCAGGTATATAAATTACTCTTCTGGTAATCGGGATACCAGAAGAAAACTGTTATAAAACACGATCGGCATTATCTACATCACATGAGAAGCAAAAAGAAACAAAGTGATGGCTGACAGAAGGGCAACAACAAAACTCATACACACAAATGCACAAGTCCAAACAACATAAAATAAGGTAACTATTCAATGGAATATTTTTTGCGGATCAGTTTACCTTCTCTCCCCTTAGCTTGTAGAGAAGAAGATTCATAACTCGATAATCAAAAGATTTTAGATGAATAGCCTTCATCACATCTTCAACAAGTATCTGAGTAGCATATTACTAGTTAGATTTCAAACAGGGACTTGTTTGTTTAAAAGTTGCAAATAGAGTATTGTTTATATACCTCCTCTTTATTTGCTAGCGCATGACAAAGCTTCCTTTCAAGACCCCAATATTCTTCTCCTTGCCTAAGCTCTTCTCTTATTCTTAACTCATCCATAAGAAGAACACAGAAATAATAAGTTCAACCCCTTACTATGCCCCATGGATTGTATGATATAGAAGGCAGAAATCATACCTATGGGTCAAAAGGCCTTTGTGTCCAAGAAGAGTCGCAAGTGGTCCAAATGGATTCTTTGAGATGCAGGAAATCAACAATGGCGTAACTTTCTACATGCAAATAAATTTACAAAAGCTGGTCAAATGGAATTTACTCAAAACATGATTCGAATCACCATTGTGCAAGTCCCAAGTAAGATGACCTCATATTTTCCTCCTGAAACAGACTCTCCATTGGTCGGTGTTTGCAGTAACTTCTCATTCATTCTATCCAGCTGCATCATAATAACCTTAGATTCTCAACGTGCAGATCATACAATTATTATTGGAACAATGCATCACTCATCTGTAAATAGTAAAACAAAAAAACAAAACAAAAAACAAAGAAAAAGGAAAAGCCACACTTTTTTTTTTTTGGGTGACAGCCATCAAGTATCTAATACTAGCCCAACTTATTCAAATTCAAGCATTGTTAGGCTTCAAATTTGGGGTAGCACTTAGCATGTTCTACATCAACAAGACTTTTACCCAAGACCATCAAATCCCTTCTGCTTAACCCATATTGTAAGACAACCACATTTTAATATTAGTTACTTCCAATAAACTCTGTTTTCACTTTTTTCCTTTCCTTCTCTTATTTGGCGTTTGACAATGCCCAGGAAGAAAGAAATACAAGCTGGACAAGAATCAACACTTATCAATATAAAAAGTATGCTTCCTGGAATAACTAAATAAAGCACCTTTATCAATATGCTGCTCACATCACCATTATGTGCCTGGTTGACTGGAACTTATGTGACATATCCGGCATTGATGAATAAATGGATGGCTGAACTTAAACTAATCTAGGATTTACCTGATAAATGTAACTCTCTGTGAATGAAAGTATTGGTAAGTACTTGAATATTGATTGTGGCTTGCAGACATCCAATCCATGAAACATAAAATAGGATCTGCACTGCAATAACAAGGTATTACTATTGATTTTCCTCATTACCAATGAATATACTAATGAAAATTACAGACTCAAGATTTCAGAAAGCCAGAAACCATGTTAAAATAATACTTTTCTGTAAAGAGATCTGTGTCAAAGTTTTCCCTAAAGAAAGCTAGAAAGGAACTTAGAATGCATATATTTGGCATTTTATACATCTACTAATCAATATGGCAATTGACAGCATGAACCGGCTATTTCCCTGAATGATCAAATACACCACTGTTTTCTAATAAGAATAATATGAGTATGCAACTATCTGGGCATTTGCTCAATACGTCAACAAGTAGTAAATCTAAAACATAAAACCATACGGCAGTATTAGCAGAAAGATAATTTTCTGAATACAGTGCTTACAAAATCCTCAAGAGTGGAATTAGCATCTTCCATAGAATCCAGCCCAACCATGGCCAAGTTTTCATCATTATTTCGCAACAAATTATTATATGTCATCTGATCACAACTAAGCCGCAAAGAATTTCCTACAAGATTCTGTTGACCCCCTGAAAAAAACAGCTAAAGTTCAAGAACAAACAAGAAAAATTTATAAGTTCATATCAAAATCAGAAGCAACAAAGCGTATCAAGGAGGAAAATAAAAGAAAAATATGATAAACACGGGAATAAAACTTGTACTTTGTAAACATCAGTCTAAAGGTTCCCAAAATATCAACATGTCAAGGGGAAAGATTTAACCCTAAAATTTTTCCAAAAGATTTATATGCCAACTCACTAATTTTGGGGTAATTTTCTTACCTTTCCCTCCTCTTTAAGAGAAATTAAATATCCAAGAGATGAGTAAGGCTATAGCGGCTTGCAAGAAATTAAATAGTCAAGATACAGCACAGACCTAAAGGAGTGCAATGATTATGGCCTATACTACTATTTTCTTCTTTCATCATGCCACCATGATTAAGCCAATGAGATGTCTCCTCCAAAAGAGTAGATGAGAGCTGCAAAAGGAAGAAAATGTCATCCTGTGACTAATACTAGAAAGAGATATGAAAGCAAAGAAATCAGCATCTGTAACTCACTCTAGGCATAAACTCACAAACCAAGCTGCATTTTTTGTCCATGCCAAGCTTTCCACAAGGTTGAATCTAATTCCCAAACAATTTCCAAGCAAAAAGGACGAAATAGTAAGAACAATGACAAAAATACCACACAAAAACATAATCACAAGCACGTAATAAAGCTTAATATTGTCGACAAAGAAGCATTATTATGATATAATAATTGGGTGAAATGCCATAAGGAACATTGTTTACATATTTAAGGAGTAATTACCAAGAAGAGCATGAGATTAGCGAGGAAGCGATTTGACTGGTGATCCGAGTCAGTTGAGCATTTCACCAAGCCCCGAGACCCCATAAAATCTAGCATACTCTGTACCTGTTCTAGTTTCATTAATTCATCCATTGCAATTGCGACGTGCCTAACTGAGCTTTTCGCCCCACTTCGCCGCTTATGCTCTTCTTCTCATGGATATTCATGGACGCCTCAATTTTTATTTACGAACTAAAGTAGACACTCCATGAACGAGCCGGCCAGCAGCACTTTTTTCCGTTTCTTTTTTTTTTTTGGGCATAATTTTAGTTCTGGGTTGAAATTGTGGGCCGTTAACTCAAAGATCATTAATTGTGAAGCCAGAATTAATGTAAGCCTCCTATAATAATAATACTATGAACAGAACTAATCAACTAATCATTTTGTAATTGAAAGATGTACCAAAAAAAACGCTTGTAATTGAAAGTTGTTTAGGTGATATATAATTAAAAAAATATTTTTACACGTGTAATTATTAAGAAGGATATGAATCTCATGATGTATAATTTTTTGGCTAAAGTATACGTCTAATCCATTAATTTTAAAGAGTTTTAATTTGGTCCGTTATCTTAAAAAGTATATTTTTAATCATTTAACTTTAAAATCACTTACAAATCAGGATGACATTAAACTCTTAAATGTTGATAAAATATTTTCAAATACTAATATATTAAATTTAATTTTCAAAATAACCATGATTGTTATAAAAAATCATTATTTAAGGTTAATAATTTTAGGATTAAAGGACTAAACGTATACTTTTTAAAGTTAAGGAATTAAATTAAAACATTGTGTAAAGTTAAAAGAACAAATGTATACTTTGAAAAATATATAAATAACATAAAATTTGATATGGCAAAATAATATATAGAATAAAAGAAGGTTTAAAATTTTATATATTGAATAATATATAATAAAAAATGTATAAATAATATAAAATTTGAAATGTTGGAATATATATATATAAATTTAACTCTCTACAACCAATTTAACTTTTGAAATAAAATGGGAATAAGATAGTTAAATTTTTTTCTAATTAGAAAACTGTATTCCATTCAAACAAGGTGATCAATAATACGAAAGTTCACCTCCATAAAATGGGGAGACTTAGGTAAATACTATCTCTGATGCTAATTATAAAATATTGTTTATAAACGAGATTTTATAATTAAGACTAGAAGCAATAGTTTGGAATAAAAGGAGAGAAAAAAAAGTGTCACTACCGGTCTGATACAATAATAGCTGTCAATTCCTATACACAACTAACGTAGTATCGTTAATAATGTGTTAAAGGAGTGCTAAACTTGTCAAATGTAACAATTACCAGTTTGAAAAGGGAAAAGTTGATTTCAAAAGCAAGTTTATGTTTGATTTTTAGTTTGTCAAAAGTTCGTTTATTAAAATTCTATTTGTAAAAAATGAATGTACTAAATGTGACAAGTCCAAAAGCTGGCTTTTGAAAACTCCACTTGGGGTATCTAGAGTGATAGATAAACATGCCGTAATCCTTTTTTCATGGGTGTGAATTTTAATGATATATTTTAGTTATCTTTACAAGAATCTAAGAACTCCCTTATCTAGCCTAGCAGAGGAAAAATAAATCGAAATTAATTTTGTGTGGCTCCACCACGTATCAATCCTCTCAAACAATAGGGCGCTTCACCTATCAAAAAACGACAATAACAAAAGTCAACTTTTTTCAAAAAAAACAAAACAAAAAGAAATTCTTTAGAATGCAAATATTTAACTTTAAAAAAAAACTCCAAAACCCTTATAATGACTTGTTCATTTCAAACATCCATTATTCATAGAAAACAACTACGAGAAGGATGGCTCGTTGGCAAGCGCACTTTTTTTCACAAAGCCTGTCTTTGACAATAATGTTTCAGAAGATATTTGGATAAAAACAAAATCATAGTTTTAAAAATATTTTTATAGTATACAAAATAAATAGATAAAAAAAATTATCTCAATTTTCAAAAAAATATTTTTTTAAAAGCATTTCTTGGATAATCCCAACACCCCTTGATCCCCCGCCAGGTGGGGGTGTCCAAATTTTATTAAAGGGTAACAGTGATACTTTATATAATTAGAATTGCATATAAAAATTTGATGCTCCTAAAAAGAGAGTTAGATCCAAGGATCAGGTCACAATCACTTGAGAGCGAAAACGCAAGTGAAAATAGGATTTTATTAATCGGAGTCGATCAATCGCCCAACTATTTGGGTATGAAGTAAATGGATTGGATTATGAGAAAGTTACAAGCTTGAATCAAAGGTATAAGCTCTAGCATAATGGACCATTTACTGACAATTTATGACCTGAAACAGACAGACTTCTGCATATGCATGAGAATGATCCCGTATTAGGTTGTCCTTAAGCAACTTCACTTCGTCAGTAACAGCGTTCCCAGCAAACTTGAGACACTGAAAAACGAGACTCCTTGATTCCGTGCGGACAGAACTCCAGGAATTTCAATGTGTCATGATCGATGGTTCAGTATACACAGCGTAAAAAGAAGAATGTTGTAACAACAGATTTTCTTCATCGAAATTTCACGATTTTCCTCCTTAATGCAGCCCAAGATTCAAATTTGGTGAAATTCCTTCTTATTTACCTCATCCACGTCTGACTTGGAGGCTTCCGATGTGTTCTGTACCTCCCTAGTTACCCGTTTGCCTTCCCATAGTTTACTGGTCTTCCCAATAGCAAGAATCAGATCAAGTTGTTTTTGTTGTTGTTCCTACATACAACAGTCAGATGCAGTTAAGAGACCAGTCCAATTTGATTGGCATGGCAAGCAACATGATCTGAAAAACATACCGGCTAAGAGCCACTTATGGCTCTAGAGTATGAATTGACGAGTAAGGGAGCAGGTAGGGTATGGTTACTAGATAAACAATAACTTCAAATTCCCATAATATATTTTGCATCCTCAAGGAAAAATAGCATTCAGTCTCAATGATATACAAACAACATGAAACTTAACATGGGGCATGATATTAGCCGTGCTTAAATAACCCATGTAAGAAATTACTATTACCTGCATTGCCAACAAAACCTTTTGAATTTCACCTAGCTCCTTCTCCAAAATGTCTGATCGAGCCACTAGTGCTCTTGTGGCCTCAGAATTCTTCTGAGCCAGAGCTGCAGTCTTCAAGAAACAAATACGTAATTAGTTTTCTAATTTCATAATTTTTTTATTTATCATATAAACTCAAAGTTCTAAATCACAGTAGGTCATTCAAAATGAGAAAGAGTGCTGCTAAAATGTTACTGTGTATTTGTATTTGAGCAGAAGTGCAATTCTTATCATATATACTTCCATGATAAGCTGATCCCTATATTATCTCATTAACGAACATATACTATGTAGTGACTATTGATGGGATCGGGAGCAATAGATGTTGACCTAACATGATCCTGGATTTTGTTGCCAGCCCGTCTGCTCAGACATGAGATTAAGACAGTCCAATCTTCTTTGAAAAGAAATATTGCTACTCTTAGAATATTGCCACCAAAGTAAAACTATAGTGCCAGATCAAGAGAGTCTCCTTTTGGCGTGACCATGTCTAGAAATCCCAGAGAAATATAACAATAATGCAGCCTTACTTCATAAATTTTGGCAAAACTTCTCAGAAAATTAAACTCAGCACTTCAAATAAAATCCCTATGACATTATTGCTCAGACATGAGATTAAGACAGTCCAACCTCCTTTGGAAAGAACTATTGCTACTCTTAGAATATCGCCACCAGAGTAAAACTATAGTGCCAGATCAAGAGAGTCCCCTTTTGGCGTGACCATGTCTAGAAATCCAACAGAAATATAAGAGTAATGTGGCCTTGTTTCATAAATTTTGCCCAAAACTTCTAAGAAAATCAAACTCAGCACTTCAAATAAAATCCCTATGACATTATTGCACGTTCAAGCATAAAGTAATTAACCATCAACTCCTCTCAGAAGATGACAATAACTCTTCATTTGGTTCTATCTCAATTAAATACCTCTTTAGTTCAAATAACAAATATTCCCATTCTCATATTTTGCCTTCTTGTCATACAAACCAAAAGAAGCCTGATGAGAAGCACACAGAAACGCAACTTTCCAAAAATGTTGTCTACTGTCTTAGTGTCTGAAGTCATATATTAACACCATGCCCAACTATAAAATAAAGAAAACAGCTACTATGATTTGTACGGACCGAAGTAATATATTATGCATTTTGCATCCTACCTACATTAGAGGCTTATGAAGTTCACAAGTGTTCTCTATGTTTCGATTAAGCTCCCTCATTTGAAAACACAAAATTATATATATATATATATATATATATATATTCTTGGTGTATGTTATACATTACGCAAGATAATTTTCTTTACCCCCAATAACCTCAAAACTTTATTTTATGAGAAAGTTAATCTCCAGAGTCTCGATGGTATCAGCAAAAATTTCTTAGTTTGTACGTTAACCACAGAGCGAAGATCGAAATAATCCCTCTTCCACTCCATCTTATACATATCAAGATACTATTATAAACTAAGCTACAGGGTTCACCATCAATACCCAAAGAAATCTACCAAGGGGTAGAAAAGAAAAGAAAAGAAAGAAGTATTCACCTCGGCTATGGGTTCCTTCAACCCCTTCCGGGTCACCCGAAATCTTATGCCCAACTTCTCCAGCTGTCTTGACAAAACCCTGACAACAGTCACTGAGCTCTTCAAATCCTCCTCCAATTTCTCAATCCGCTCGAGCAAATTAACCTGCAAGCCTTCTTTGCGCGTCTCCCTGCAAATTCGCCTCCATTGTCGTCTCCGAATCCACGCTCCCATCACAACTCCACCAACCAACATCAAAACACCCCAAAGAACAACCTTACTCCCTATTGCCACTAAGAACTCCTTCTTGGAGCCTGCCATCACATTGCTAACCGCGAAGCCAACGAATAAAATTGCCGACGAAAGCAGACACAACAATTCAGCCAGAGAAAGAAGAGAGTCCAAATTGAAATCTCCCACAACATCCTTCTGTACAGCACCATCGGGTTCATAGGCTCGAAGACGGAAAAGGTCAGCGGAAGTCCTGAAGGAATTGAAATTTTCAGGTTTCAATGACGTGAGCTTCAGAATCCGAAGATGAGCGGGATTGGAGAGATGCTGGCGTAGGGCGATCGAGAGGGATGGGGTTGAGCTTCTAGCGAAGTAAAGATTGGAGAAAGAAAGTATGGAAGG